CTGCTGAACTAATAAGTCCCATTGTGCTTAGTGACACTTTACATTTAGTTCTAATTGTCAAAGGTTGTTTACGCTAATACAGGGGTTTTCAGCTAATTGACCTAGGGGCCACCATTCTAACTAAGAAGCAACCTGAGGACCAGTGGTGTGGGGTGGATAGTCCGGGTGGGCGCGATTTTAATCCTGAAGGTCTCCTTGACTTATCTGAATTTTATATAAGAAAAAACATTAACATGTTTAATTACACAAATGTGTTTACAAAATTTCCAAAAATTGTGATTCCTACAGTGAAAGCACATTATTGAATGCGTGGCCAGGGACCACCTGCAATGCCTTCAGACCACCAGGGGGCCATGGACCACTGGGTTAACCCCGCAGTTATTATCCATTAAACATCAGCATGCCAACACTGAGCATGTTAGCATGCTGGCTTTAGCATTTAGCTCACAGGACCACTAGCACTGTTGAAGATACTTTTGTTGCAATATATTTTAAATCTAACCTTTGTTGTTTGTGTTCTATAGAAGCACTCAGCTAATGTGAGACCTAGATGTGAGGGTGTCCAGTGAAGAGGATTTAACCCCCAAAGACTGAGCATTCAAGGCCCCCCGATTTGAGCCTAACATAACTGACAGAAATTGATGAACAGACATTTGACCACTCTACAGGCTATGTGACTTAACTGAAGCAACTGCTCCCTTGACAATATGTATCGATCCCTTCTGAACATTTGAAATGAGAGTAGATCCAGCTTCATGTCATCCTTTCTGCACTATGCTGGAGCTCCCCTTAACTATGGGAACACTAAAGGCCAGGCCTTTGGTTTGTTTGTGCCCAGCGGGTGCATCTGGGGCCCCTGCGGCCCAGCCTGCCCACTCCTGCTCTGCGACTGTGTCTGCTGTGAAACCTAATGTGACACTAAGACATCATAATCCTCATCACTGTGCCAGCTTGCCGCTCTGCACTGGAAACTAGCTCTGACAGCCATGACCTTCCAGCCTGATTGGACCAGTGACCCCTGACCCTCAGCCATAGAGATGGTGCTCAAATCCACCACTATTACATGCAGACCTCTGGACTACTGTATTAATACTCTGTCATGGACACAAAGGGTTTCTGCTTATGTCTGTATTTCTTCTCTTAAACCTATATTATCTCAAATAGGTCACAGTAATTTAGCTCTTTTTTGCATCTTTTCTCTGTTGTATAATATTTCTTTGTTTTGAACTCTTTAAAGTTTGATCAGTATGAGTTTATGAGTTTGTTCTGACTGTATCAATACCTCTGTCCCAATCAGGTGCACATTAGCCTCAACTTCTCAGGCATCTTTCATTTCCTCTGCTGTTGATTGTTCAGCCACTCAGCCCTGAGTCACATGATTGTAATCAGCTGGCGAGGAGGGACAATAATGCCAAGATCCCATTATAATCCCAGGAGGTATTTGGGATGCTGTATTTGCATGCTGCAGTATAGAAAAACATTGCAATAACACGCTTCAACTCTAAGGTCTGCTGACTTTACCTCGTGACACACTCACCATCCACTTTGTTAAAAATCTGATGATCTCACTGGTCTCCCACCTACAGTATCTAGTGAAAACTAAGTTATCAATGACACTTCTGTTGAGTGCTTTAGGGCCTGATTGCTTTATGACATTTAGAAGGTGCTTGAAGTACTCTTATCAAAAAGCCTTTTGGGCTTATAGGCTGCACACGGTCTGCTAAAAGTCTGTGTCCTTCCATGTGATTATTCAGTATCGCTGCAGTGTAATAATATCCACTCCATTTTTTTTAAGATAACCAGTAATCTCGTGTGTCTGGTATGACTTGCTTAAGCATTCAAATCATCTTTCCTCACTTCCCTCAGGGACCCTCTACATAACAGTTTCTCCTCTTGATAAAGAGGATCGGAGACTTGTCAGTTACCTTGTCTTCTTCTCTTGTATCAGTTATGTGGTGTTTCCACAGTAAAATGGGTCATTCTGTCTTTTATCTTCCAAAGCCATGCCAGTAAGTGAAAGCATGTCATCTATCATCTACTAAATGTTACCTACGAACAGGCGTAGTGCAGTGCAGTTCTGAACAAAAAAGCTCCTAAATGCAAAAGTCAGTGATGTCTGATTAAAAATAACGTGTCACCAATCATTGAATAGCCTGCATACCTCATTGAAGGCACAGCAATAGGCCCTGGTACTCTCTTGCCAAGCCTGCCGGTGAGGTGAAGAGGGAGGATCCAGGTGGGAATGAAGCCAAGAGGAGATGAAATTGACTTGATAGGACGTTTGTTTCATCTTCAGCTGTAAATACAAGTTGAAATGGAGAGAAAAAAGTCTTTGTTAAACTATTTTTATTGTTCTGAAAATAAAGAATGAATGGTATTGCTTTCTGCTGTGTTTGTGAGAGAGCGCGGGGGGATAGGGTCATCTTGAAAAGGTGGCTGATAAGCAGAAGAATCCCAGACTGGATCAGTGGATTGAAGCGACCCTTGGACTCTGAGAGGAAGAACACAACTTAGGTTTGCGAGGGCAGTGTGAGCTCAGGACTTGAATAGGAACAAGATGATAAAAAGAAGCTCTAGCACGGGGGGCAAGTGCTGCTTGGGGAATCAAAAGTAAGTTGCAGAAGTCAGACGGTATATGAGGACAATAGTCTGCCTGCAGAGACATATGTACTCTTAGCAATACTGGATCAGATGATTAACTGTATTTATAGCTAGTGTATATTCATTGACCATTTAAAGAAACATTATTCTAGGCCAAACTGGAAAACTGTCACACAAGTAAGAGTCAAAGTTAACTGTGAGTGCTGGTGTTAGGGCCCTTCGTGAATGCCAAAGGCCCTTGGCTGCAGCACTGGATAGACATGGTCAACACTCCACAGGAGCCAGTAAAGCTGTCACAGGGATTGGGCAGAGCCATTTAAGCAACCAAACATGAACACAGATGTGCATGTACATTCGCACAGTGTCTGAAATAATAGAATAAAAGTGCTAATAAATGTGTTCATCATTTGTAAAACGCCTTGAGGTGATTGCCATCTGCTAATAAAAGTGTGTCCAGATGAAAAATGTGATTTTTACTTTGTCAGTGTGTGCACGGCAGATATTTAAATTCTGGAGCCTGAGAAAGTTTGGCCCCTGTCCCCCACCGCCCTCTAGTGCGCATGTGCAGTGGACTTATTTAACTTAATCAATCTTGCACAACAAAAACAAACTGACACCATAACTGTATCATTAGATGCAGAAAAAGCATTCGACAAAGTTAACTAGTCATTTCTCTTCAGCACACTACGAAGGTTCAGTTTTGGAGAGTCCTTCATCCACTGGATCAAAACACTATATACATCACCTAGAGCTACAATAACCACAAAAGGAATAACCTCACAAAGTTTCACACTTCATCAGGGAACCGGACAAGGATGCCCACTTTCACCATCTCTATTCGCCATTTTCATTGAACCTCTAGCAGCAACAATATGATAGAATAATAGCATCAAAGGAATACAAGATAACTCACAACATAAAATTAGGCTCTATGCAGATGAGTTACTATTATATCTACAGGACCCCTACAGTTCACTATGAGAAACTTTCTCCATTAGAGTAGAGTAGAGTAGGTACTTTATTGATCCCACTGTGGAGAAATTTCTGTGTTACAGCAGCAATAGAGAACAACCAACATAACACCATAAGAACAGAACTTCATAAAAACATGGAAATGAGGACACAGCTGCTGTAACTTGCTGCCACTCATCATGGCGCATGCGTACGTAGGAACAACGAACATTCATTCATTCATTTTCTACTGTTTGTCACGGGGGTGGGGGGGGGAGCCAATCCCGGCCGGCAATCGGGCGAAGGCGGGGTACACCCTGGACAGGTCGCCAATCCATTGCAGGGCTAACACATAGACAAACAACCACACACACACACGCACTCCTATGGGCAATTTAGAGACACCAATCAACCTAAGCTGCATGTCTTTGGACTGTGGGAGGAAGCCAGAGTACCCGGAAAGAACCCACGCAAGCATGGGGAGAACATGCAAACTCCACACAGAAAGGTCCCAGGTGGGGCCCGAACCTGGAACCTTCTCGCTGTGAGGCAACCACAGCGCTAACCACTGTGCCACCGTGCTGCCCGTAACAAAGAACACTTAGTCTTAAAATAAACAGTTACATAAAGGCAACAAATCAGTAGAACCAATACAAGTAGCGTCACCAGAATGTTACATTTTACACAGCGCAAATAAGCAAATCAAAGGCACCTAAAAACAGGGCAGAGCAGCACTGGAGAGAATCAGGAACAGCAGTAGAGACTAAACAACCAGGAAATCAAGAACAATCGAATTATTAATAATACATTCTCCAGGATTTTCAACTACACAATAAAGTGGAATAAACCCACTGTAATGCCTTTGGTTAAGATATAAGTTAAATAAGTTAGAACAGTTCATAGTTAAGAGCATAAATACAATAGTTAAGAATCTTGGTCTGGAGAAACTCAGAGTGATAGGTCTTCACGCTATGTACAGTGAGGAACAGAAGTATTTGAACACCCTGTGATTTTGCAAGTTCTCCCACTTAGACATCATGGAGGGGTCTGACATTCACATTGTAGGTGCATTCCCACTCTGAGAGACAGAATTTTTAAAAAAAATTCAGGAAATCACATTGTATGATTTTTAAAGAATTTATTTGTCTTGCACTGCAGAACATAAGTATTTGAACACCTGAGAAACAGCAAGAATTCTGGCTCTCAAAGATCTGTTACTGTGCCTTGAAAAAGTTCACCTCTACTCCACTCATTAATCTAAATTAGCAGCACCTGTCTGAGCTCTTTAAAGACACCTGTCCACCCCAAACCAGGACCTTCAGCATGCACTGGGAGGGTTTGCAGCCGAATGTGAAGCAGCTGGGATGAGAATCAGCACCTCCAAATCCGAGGCCATGGTTCTCAGTCGGAAAAGGGTGGCTTGTTCACTTTAGGTTGGTGGAGAGCTCCTGCCTCAAGTGGAGGAGTTCAAGTATCTTGGGGTCTTGTTCAAGAGTGAGGGAAGGCTGGAACAGGAGATTAACAGGTGGATCGGTGCAGCTTCTGCAGTAATGTGGTTGATGTACCGGTCTGTCGTGGCGAAGATGGAGCTGAGCTGTAAGGTGAAGCTCTCGATTTACTGGTCAATCTAGTCAATGAGCTTTGGGTCATGACCGAAAGGGCAAGATCCCGGGTACAGGTGGCCGAAATGACCTTTCTCCGCAGGGTGGCTGGACACACCCTTAGAGATGGGGTGAGGAGCTCTGTCACTCGGGAGGAGCTCAGAGTAGAACCTGTGCTCCTCCACATTGAGTGGAGCCAGCTGAGGTGGCTCGGGCATCAGCTTTCCCCTTCCTGGGGAGGTATTCCGGGCATGTCCCACCGGGAGGTGGCCCCTGGGAAGACCTAGGACATGCTAGAGGAAATGTGTTTCTCGGCGGGCCTGGGAATGCCTTGGCATTCCCCTGGAAGAGCTGGAGGAAGTGTCTGGAGAGAGGGAAGTCTGGGCATCTCTGCTTAGACTGCTGCCCCTGCGAACCGGTTCCGGATAAGCGGAAGAAGATGGATGGATGGATGGATGGATGGATGGATGTATTTTCCCCAGGCTGTCACAACTATTTAACCTCAACTACACCCCTCTGCTACAAAAGACAGAAGATTTCAAATGCTGGTCCAACCTCACACTGTCACTCATTGGCCTTACACACTTACTGGGTACAGTCAAAATGAAAACTTTACCATAAATTAACTGTTTATCTGTTTTCAGTGCTTCCCACAACTCCCACAGATAAATGGTACAAATCACTTGATTCTCTAACTTCACAAACAAACAAAATCAATGCAAATATACTTCAGTTGAAGACCTTGCCTTCCTATCATACTCAATTAAGAAAATGAACTATTTAAAAAATATCTCTCTCTGACAGCCTGGTGGAAAGCAAACTCTTCTTTTTCTTTCGGCTGTTCCCGTCAAGGGTTGCCACAGCGAATCATCTTTTTCCACCTAACTCTATCCTCGGCATCCTCTACTCACCCCAATTAACTTCATGTCTTCTGTTAGCACATCCATATATCTCCGCTTTGGCCTTCCTCTTGACCTCTTGCCTGGCAGCTCCATCTCCAACATCCTTCTACCAATATAACCACTATCCCTCCTCTGCACATGTCCAAACCATCTCAATCTGGCCTCTCTGACCTTGTCCCCAAAACAGCCGACCTGAGCTGTCCCTCTGATGTGTTCATTCCTAATCCTGTCCATCCTGGTCACTCCTAAAGAGAACATCCTCATCTCTGCTACCTCCATCTCTG